AAAAAAAAAAAAAAAAAAAAAAAAAAAAAAACAAGAAGGAAACTTCTGGAAGACTGGCTGGAGAGACATCACTCAGCTGGAATTGCCACCCCATAAAATGAAATACTGTGTGTCAATCAGGCCTGTCTCTCTCCCCAAGTTGCCAGCGTCACCCTCAGGGGACCAAACTGGACTGAGCACCCAGGTGGCCTGCTTCCCAGCCTTTGACTGAGGGGCAGTCTGAGTCAAAAGTGGGACAGCCAAGGAGTTAGGCCCCCACCCTCTGGGAGCCCCACTGATACACCGTGGTAGGCAGCTTGGAGGGGGCAGGTGACCTGGTGTGGAGAGTCAGAGGCTAAATCTTCAGACAAGTGGCAACAGGCCACCAACTTGAAAGGGAAGATTGTGCTGTGATGGGGAAGGTGTCCAACAAACCTACTGGGTGACTAATTACAAAGGTTGGGCTGGAGCGTCAGAGGCCGCTTGTTAAACTCTTCATTAAGTGGCACCTTGAAAGCTGCCACCTGTGCATTCTGGGGGGCGGTCAGAGGGAGAGCGAGGAGCAGGAGACAGAACTGTGGTATCTTTAGGGAGACTCAGGAAGAAGACTGAATCCCACCTCCAGATACTGGAGCTCACGGGCCAGAGGCCTCAATGGGAGAACAGCCAAAGGAAGTAGGGTGCAGGGGAAGTTTTAGGGAGCTGGTAGCTGCATGACCTTGAGCAAATCTCCCTTCTCTGATAAAGTATTCCCACCTTTCCAGTCCATGTGGCTTCCAAAGACATCATGAAGATTGAGATCCTGTCTGAGAAAGTGCTTGGGAAACTGCAGCCCTACCTACACATGAGTGATCTCACCTGAACCAAGAGGGAAACGTACCTGGCAGGATTAAGAACCCCACCCTCCTGTGTTTGGCCACTCACTGTGAAGGAGGATCTGGGCAGCTTCCTAATATGGGCCCCTGTGCAAGGCAACCTTGAGCAGCAGGGGGCAGCCTGGAGCCCGGAAGGTGGGGCCCACGCCCGGGTTTCTCCTGCTGACTGTCCGGATGACTCACTCACCTCCACATCCCGCCCTTTTACCTTTATGGAACAGCCGGAAAGGGTGTGGAGAGAAGGGGAGAAAGGGGCAGGTTTTGGGCCCCAGTCCCGCCCCTGCCTCTCCCCACCCTTCTCCAGGCCAGGCCACCCAGCCAAAAGGCAGGCCAAGAGCAGGAGAGGCACAGAACCCGGCATCGGTCCCCTGGCAGCCAGTTAGCCCGCCGCCCGACCGTCTGTCCCCAGAGCCATGGAGCGAGCCAGTCTGATCCAGAAGGCCAAGTTGGCAGAGCAGGCTGAGCGCTATGAGGACATGGCAGCCTTCATGAAGGGCGCCGTGGAAAAGGGCGAGGACCTGTCCTGCGAAGAGCGAAACCTGCTCTCCGTGGCCTACAAGAACGTGGTGGGCGGCCAGAGGGCTGCTTGGAGGGTCCTGTCCAGCATCGAGCAGAAGAGCAACGAGGAAGGCTCGGAGGAGAAGGGCCCCGAGGTGCGAGAGTACCGGGAGAAGGTGGAGACCGAGCTCCGGGGCGTGTGCGACACCGTGCTGGGCCTGCTGGACTCCCACCTCATCAAGGAGGCAGGGGAGGCTGAGTGCCGCGTCTTCTACCTGAAGATGAAGGGCGACTACTTCCGCTACCTGGCCGAGGTGGCCACCGGTGACGACAAGAAGCGCATCATCGACTCTGCCCGGGCAGCCTACCAGGAGGCCATGGACATCAGCAAGAAGGAGATGCCTCCCACCAACCCCATCCGCCTGGGCCTGGCCCTGAACTTTTCTGTCTTCCACTACGAGATTGCCAACATCCCCGAGGAGGCCATCTCGCTGGCCAAGACCACTTTCGACGAGGCCATGGCTGACCTGCACACTCTCAGCGAGGACTCCTACAAAGACAGCACCCTCATCATGCAGCTGCTGAGAGACAACCTGACGCTGTGGACAGCCGACAACGCCGGGGAAGAGGGCTGCGAGGCTCCCGAGGAGCCCCAGAGCTGAGCCTGCCTGCCCTGCCCTGCCCTGCCCGCTCCAGTCCCCAGCTGCCGCCCAGCGCACTCGGAGGGAGTGGGAGGCCCGGCCCTGCCCTGCCCAGACCTTCCCGAGTGCTCTGCCCAGCTCGGAAAGTCTCTCCGGGGGCGCAGCCGCACTGAGGCCACAGTGGCCAGGATCCCTGGGCGCACCGCCTGCGGAGCGTCCCCTTCTCCCACCCACCCCGCGCCTCCCTCTGGCCCCTGCCGCCTCTGGATCTTAGGAATCAAGGAGTGCCGCCCCCCCATGGCTGAGAGCTGGACCGTGTGGCAGAGGCTGGAGATGAGTGTGTGCGTGCGTGTGACTGCGAGAGCGAGAGTGAAAGCGCGTCTGCTGGGTGTGACCATGTTTCCTCTCAATAAAGTTCCGCTGTGACACTCCTGTCTTTTCCAGTTACTGGCTATGGGTTGGGAGTGGGACTGAAGTATGCTTTAAGAGACCCTGACTTAGGACCTTAGCTGGCCAGGTGGCGCGCGTGCCCGAGGACCCCAGAGTTAAGTGGGGTGTAGTCCCACCCAGCCCTCGGAACTGCGCCGTCGGGTGGGGACAAAGGGAAACGGGCTGGAGGGAAACAGGAGCAAGCCGGGTGGGGAGGGCCGCGGGCAGCCCACAGACTCGGCTGGCAGCAAGCAGCAACACGCCGGGGCCGCGGTCTAGGCGCTGTCTTACCTTCACGGCTGGGGCTGGAAACTGAGCCCGGGGCCGCTACTGCCCAATCACAGGAGGGAGTTGCCAGGGGTCCCGCCCCCAGGGCCCGCTTGACCAATGGAAGAAGGAGCAGCGAGGATTCTCGCCTTCACCTCCGCCGGGTAGAAGCCACCGCTGGCTTGCTGACTGAGCGTTGTCCTCGCCGCTGGCCGAACTCTGGGGGACGGCGCTCTCCGGGTTTCACTCTAGCAAGTTGTCGCCCGCCCAGCCCGAGACGCCGCCACCACACTCCAGAGGCAGCCCTGGCCGCATGGCCAGCAGGCTTGGACTGTGTCCCTGGCTGCCTTTGGGGAAGCCATTACACCTCTCTGGGCCTCACCTTCCCTCAGTGGAAAGAGGCTTGAACTCAAGGTTCTCCAACCAGAGAGGAAGACTTTGGGTCCTGAAAGCGCCTGGGTGCGATCTGTCCTGCCTGAGGCTCTGAGCCTGCTCGCCTTTGCGTTCTATTTGTGGGCTTGGTGGGGAGGTTTAAAACACCTCCTTCTTAGTTAAGTTTGAGAAAAGAAACACCTGTGCTGTAAAGCCTGCTAGCTGTTATTCAGTCATCAGGAAGGCTAGGATTTATCCAGTATTCCTGTGCAAAGCAGCTGCAATAATCGGTTAATCGGTCAGGCGCAGCGGGGAGGAGCATCCTCGCTGCCAGAGATGGAACTCAGTCCAGCTTCATCAGGGCCTAATTTGGCCACATCCATGGGGCTCCGAAATGAGGGGCGCGGGTCCCCTCTTCTCCCCTCATTTCTTGTCTCTGGGCCAGGGCAGGTGACTCCAGGGAGCTCTAGATATGACCTGGTTTCTCTCACCAGACAGGTCTGGTGACTTTCTCTTAAAGGGTTAGGTCCTGGGAAAAGAACTTCCTTCTTTTCTCTCGACCTCTCCTTTTGGTAGTTGGCGCCACACCTTTCAAAGTTGTCCTATATGGAAAGAAATGAGCTGCCCTAACTGGTATGTTGGTGTTGAAGGATTTCAAATGCAGATGCTATGAGTTGAAGATCATCAAATCAACCTCTATCAGGGCTAAATTTGAGATGCTTTAGGCACCAGCTTCTTATTACAACGGTATCGGACTTTCAGGTGTGGTGTCACACCCATCTGTAAACTCAGCATATGGGAGGCTGAGGCAGGAGGACTGCTGTGGTTTGAGACCAGTCTGGACTACATAATGAAATCCTGTCTCAAAAAAAAAAAAAAAAAAAAAAAGGAAGAAAGAAAGAGAAAAACAAAACTCAGTAAACATTTATTGCCATCTTTTCCTGGTCTAGAGATGACATTTCAAAATTTTTTAATTCCGAGCCAGGGATTTAGCTCAGTGGTTCTGGCGACTGCCTCGCAAGCACAAGGACCTGAGTTCAATCCCCGTTACCAAAAAAAAAAAAAAAATCAATTCCACTACTAATGGATACAGGGCTTCTTTTGGGATGGTAAAAGTGTGCACAGTTGCAGTTTGGTTATGAGCTGCACTGCTCACTGTAGAATTGTGTCATTTATACTTCAATTTTTAAAATTCTCAGACTAGCAGTGTAGCTCAGAGGTACAGCTCTTGCCTAGCACATGTAAATCTCTGGGTTTGACCCTAGTGCTTATGCAGGCACATGCATGTGCGAGGATGTACACACACGCACAACTGTTCCAGAAGGCAAAGCAAGTAAGAATGCCAAGCTTCAGTTAATTTCATGGTGGTCATTCATCATTCATCCCTTCCACTTAATCATATTCTTTGTTTTATTTATTTATTATTATTACTTTTTTTGGCGGCAGGGATTGAACTCAGGACCTTGTGCTTGCAAGGCAGGCAGCGGCACCATTGAGCTAAATCCTGGCCCCGTTTTGTTAGTTTTTTGAGACAGGGTCTCACTGTGTAGCCTAGGTTGGCCTTACACTCACTGTAAGGCACAGTGATCCTCCTGCCTCAGCCTCCCGAGTGCTGGGGTTACGGGTATGCGCCACCATGCCCAGCACTGATAATATTCTTTTAATCTCTTCCAAATTTCAAAGCTAATTAGATCAAATCTTAATGAGCCACCCTTCTTTTAACACATCCACAGAACCTTGGACAGACTGGCTTACCAACCCCTTCCATTTATGTAAGGTACTTTTATTCAGTTATGATTTCCTATCTACCTGATTCTACTTCTGGGTTTGGAGCCATGTCCTGGGTTTATTTCTCTCAGAGTTCTCTATAAATGGTAACTTTGTCCCACTGTGCCCCTTTCTTCCTACATTAATTCCAACAAAGTTTGTACTACAAGGTGCTCAGATGTTGGATTTAAAACCACCCTTCCAAGTGTCTGGCCACCAGGTTAGAGCCAGATCCTTTTTTATGGAAATGCAGAAATGGCTGACCCTGGGGATGAGGAAGAGCTGTCTAGGTAGAGACCATGTACACAGTGTTAGAGGTATAGAACCCCGGCCCTACCTTTCTACAACAGCCAGGTAACAGCACTTGAGAAGATTTTTTTCCTCCCAATAATTAGACTGGTAGCCAGACAAGGTGGTGCACACCTGTAACGCCAGTGCTCTGGGAGGCTGAGGCAGAGGATGGCAAATTCAATCCCAGCCTGAGCAAGTTAGTGAGACTCTCAACAACTAGAAAAGGGCTGCGGGTAGGGATACAGATAAGTGCAAAGGCCCTGGGTTCAATCCCTAGTTGCGGGGAGGCAGGGAAAACTTGCAACCTAAAATTCTTTACCAGAGATATTCTACTTTCTATTCTTTTATACACAGTTGCGGCAGAGGACAAAGCCAAGCTGGCTCTGTAGCTCCTCCAGAGTAGGTGTCAAATGGCAAGACTGCCTTCTCCACCAACCAGGCTCCTAGGGAGCCCAGGCACGAGGGTCAAGAAGGCCACGGTGACTCCTTCCAGAAAAGCAAGGTGCTCCTCCTCTTTACCAGAGATATTCTACTTTCTATTCTTTTATACACAGTTGCGGCAGAGGACAAAGCCAAGCTGGCTCTGTAGCTCCTCCAGAGTAGGTGTCAAATGGCAAGACTGCCTTCTCCACCAACCAGGCTCCTAGGGAGCCCGGGCACGAGGGTCAAGAAGGCCACGGTGACTCCTTCCAGAAAAGCAAGGTGCTCCTCCCCACTGCCGCCACCATACACACACACACACACACACACACACACACAGGTCTAAAGCCCCGATGTTCCAAGCTTCCTAGGAAAACCTGACTTCAGGTGCTTGTACCAAGACTGCACTTCTCACCAACAGCACCCTCTCCTAGATCCAAGTGGAGCAACAGCGGCTGCTAACATGACCAGTATCTGCCAGACAGTTTCACACCTCATTTCTCGCAGCAGTGCACATTACTGATTTTGTGTATGAAAAGATGGAGGGTCATACTGCAAAATAACCTAAAAACCAGGGTTACACAAGTGCTTATGTGCTAGGACAGGGTCTGACCCCAACACTCATGAACTTTAAACTACCACAGGTGTTTTCAAACTGCTCAGGGGGCTCCCGAAAAGCTGCTGTGGAGCCGGGCATGGTGATGCACGCCTGTAATCCCAGCACTCAGGAGGCTGAGGCAGGAGGATTGATGTGAGTTCCAGGGCAGTCTGAACTACATAGTGAGACCCCGTCTCAAAAAAAAAAAAAGCTGTAGGCAAGAGCCTGGGTGACAGGCTTGTCTGTGCCCAACACTGTGGCTAAAATAACCACACATGCCTCTTGCATACTAGTCTCGTGAACTAGAAGTATGAGAAAAACCATGGTGTACTGTGCTACTCTATTCTTGTTTTGGATTTTCAAAGAATTAAAAAAGCCTTGGGCTGGGGATTTAGCTCAGTGGTTCCACTGCCTGCCTAGCAAGTGCAAGGGCTGGAGTTCAATCCCCGGTACCAAAATAAAACAAAACACCAAACCAAAACCCAAATTAAAACAAATAAAAAAGTCTTCTTATACTACTCAATCTAACGTAAGGCCAGGGCCCAGAAGGAAGGGCCTGTCTGGAATGTGAAGTGGACAGACTCCGCGGCTTACTCACCAAATTTAAGTTTCCTTAACCCGGTTTTGCTCTTCATTCCTTTGAATTCTTTACCCTGTGCACAAGGCCTACCCATCCCCACTCCTGCTGTGCGGGGTGGGGAAGGCCCCTCCACCTCCCCGCAGAGTGGGGAGCCAGGAACGCCTGTGGGGCAGCAGACAGGCTGTCACCCTAGGGCACCGAGGCTGACTCACCTCTGTCTCTGCCCAATCTTCTCCTTACAGCTCTGGGAAACTGAACTCTGTCTAGAGATAAGAAGGAAACCCTAGACTCTCAAAAGCAGGACTCTGCCAAACCGTGAGGAGGTACAGCATTTAATAATCAGTTGATGGTATTTGTTGAAGGGAAGGATGTAAGAAAGGGCAGGAGGGAGAAAATGTGAGCCATTTTCTCCTCCAGACTAAAGCTAACCTGAAGTCTCCTTATCTGAATACAGAGGGGACAGGCTTTCAGCTCAATAGATACCAGTTACAAATTGGAGGAAATCTTAGTCATGTCCCAGGCTCCCTGCTTGGCTATTTCTGTGACTCCACAAAGTAATGTGGAGGACCCAGCACTAAAACATTGCAAGAACTTAGAGATGATGATCTGGCACAAAGGGAAGTACTAGGGGACATTCCTTTTCCTTTTTTTTTTTTTTGTGTTGGGGGGGTACCAGAGATCAAATTTGGGCCCTTGTGCCTGCGAGGCAAGTGCCAGAACCACTGAGCCAAATCCCTGGTCCTCTTTTTCTTTTTTTTTTCTGAGATAAAGTCTCACTGTGCCTAGGCTGGCTCAAATTTGAGGTCCTCCTGCCTCAGCCTTCTGTGTGCCAGAATTACGGTGTGTACCACCACAGCTGGCTTCACCCCCACCTTGGTACTGGGGATCGAACTCAGGACTTTGTGTTTGCAAGGTAGGTACACTGCCACTGAGCTAAATCCCTGGCCCCTTCACCACAGCTGGCTTTAAGGAACTTTTCTTAAAACTAAATACACACAACAAGCATACTGTTTTAGAGCTGTTTATTTAGGATTTTTTTTTTTTTTTTTTTTTGAGACAGGGTCTCACTGTGTAGCCCAGGTTGGCTTTGAACTCATGGTGATCCTCCTGCCTCAGACTCCCAAGTGCTGGGATTGCAGGCATGTACCACCATGCCTAACATTTGTTTTGAGACAAAGTCTCACTGTGATGCCTAGACTAGCCTTGAACACTTGGGTTCAAGTGATCCTCCTGCCTCAGCTTCCTGAGTAGTTATGCAGCTGGGTCTACCAGCAGGAACGCACCACCATATGTGGCGCCATTTAGGATGGTTTTTCAAGAGGCCTCTCATCTCTCTCCACATCTGGTTCGGAGTTTTGGAATGAGGAAGAAAAAATTTACATTTACATCTTTTGTTTTGTTTTTGTTTTTTTTTTGAGACAGGGTCTCACTATGTAGTTGAGACTGACCTGGAACTCACTATGTACTCAGGCTGGTCTCGAACTCACAGCGATCCTCCTGCCTCAGCCTCCTGAGTGCTGGGATTATAGGCGTGCGCCACCACGCCCGGCAAAAATTTACACCTTGTTATGTAACCTCAGACAGAACTTTTTACTGGTACTCATCTTTCCCCACCTTCACTGGGCCTCAAGTCCTTTACCCATCCATCAGCCCACCTGGACGCCTGGGCTCTGAGGCTGCCTGGAGTTGGCTCCCTGGCTGGAAGTGCAGGGCACAACACACTGGAAACGAGGTGGACCTGCTGCCTTGGGAGGGTGCTGACCTGGGCTTCTGAAGGGCACAGGAAGAGGCCTGAGTGGCCAGACGAGGCAGCCAGGATGAGGGAAAAAGGAAAGCAGGGAGCAGCTGGCTGGGTGGGTTTGGAGCTGCTCCCTTCTTCTGTCGGGGTTTCTGGGAAAGGACAGAAAATCCCTCACACCTACCTTCCCTTTCCCCTTCCCACAAGCCCTAATGGGACCAGATGTCCTGCGCTTAGCCAGTTGTGGGCGAGCTTTCCGCTAACTCATGTAGACTGACTTGCTTCAGCTGGGTTTAGGGCCTCACCCTCCCTCCTAGGCCTCTTTGTCAGGCTGGGAACCTTGGCAATGACCTATGGGTTCCTCAACTCCACACCACCCTCCTGTGGCTGGGATCTAATCAGGAAATGCAGAGTTGACCGTCAGTTAGCAGGAATGACTAGAATAATGACACGGTCAGGGCGCTCTCTGGAAAGCACTTTAGAAATATGGATCAAGAACCCGGAAAACAGCAGTCATTTCATTTCTAGGACTTTATCATAAATTAAAAATCAGAGGGCCAAGGAATTTAGCTCAGCGGTTCGGTGGCCTGCCTTGCAAGCCCAAAGACCCGAGTTCAATCCCCAGTACCAAAAAAAAAAAAAAATCAGAGACTTGGGCCAGGGATTTAGCTCAGTGGTTCTGCCGCCTGCCTCACGAGCACAGGGTTCTGAGTTCAATCCCTGGTACCAAAAAATAAATAAATAAATAAAAATCAGATACTCAGACAATATTTGGGTACAAAGATGGTAGTCATTACTTGTCATAGCGAAGGGAAAACTTGCTAATGACCTTTTAGGCTAGTCTGGATAGATAAGGTTCTAGCTATATCACTAAACATTATTATTAAGAAGGTTTTTATAGCCGGGCGTGGTGGCGCACGCCTGTAATCCCAGCACTTGGGAGGTGGAGACAGGAGGATCGCTGAGTGTTCAAGCCCAGCCTGGGCTACACAGTGAGTTCCAGGTCAGAATGAACTACATAGTGAGACCCTGTCTCAAAAAACCAAAAAAAAAAAAAAAAAAAAAAGTTTTTATAGCCAGGCTTGATGGCACACACTTGTAATCCCAGATACTTGAAAGGCTGAACGGGAGGACCATGATTTTGAGGCCAGCCTGAGCTACTTAGCAAGATCCTATCTCGAAAAAGAGAAAGGGTGGGGGGAGAAAGAAACAGAAAAGGCTAGATGCCTGCCTTGCAAGCACAAGGTCCTGAGTTCAATTCCCGGCACCATAAAAAAAGAAAAAGAAAAGGTTAGGATGTAATTTGTGACATGTCTTAGGTTCAATCCCCAATATTGGAAAAATAATTTTTACCTTTCTTTCTTTTTTTTTTTTGACACCGGGGATTGAACTCAGGACCTTTTGCTTGCAAGGGAAGTGGCAGAACCACTGAGCTGAATACCCGGGGGAAAAATAATTTTTAAAAGGTCTTTAATATTAATGATTATTTCCATGATAGTTCTATGAATGACTCTACTTTCTCTTTTCATTTTCCAAGTTTTTACTTTTCTATTTTATCCAGGAAAAAAAAAACCCTAAGGTTGTGGCCATGTTGGAAGATGGTATTTCTCTCACCCTATACACTTTCCACCATGTGAGCCTCACCTGGAGCCCATGCTCCCCTCTCCTGCATTGTGTTTTCTCCTGCCCAGTACCTCAGTGTATACAGAGGGAACAGAAAAAATCTTTTTGTTATCACAAACTACATTTATTGACTTCTAGATTTAACAACAAATTTAGTACCATAGCTGGATACAAAGTCAAAACCCAAGCTGGGTGTGGTGGCAAATGCCTGTAATCCCAGAACTTGGGAGGCTGAGGCAGGAGGATTGCTGTGAGTTCAAGATCAGCCTGAGCTACATAGTGAGTTCCAGGTCAGTCTCAACTACATAGTGAGACCCTGTCTCAGAAAAAAAAAAAAAAAAAAAAAAAAAACCCCACAAAGTCAATACTCAAAAATTTGCAGCTTTCCTGTACACAAATAACAAACTCAGAGAGAAATTAGAGAAACAACACCTTTCACAACAGCATAAAAAAGAAAAAAGAAATACCTAGGAATTGAGCTAACAAAGGATAACTACAGTACTCTGAAAAGGATATTAAGAAATGGACAGAAAATGGAAAGATATCCCTTGTTCTTGGGTAGAAAGAAGCAATATAGTGAAATTGACCATACTTCCAAAACTGTTATACAGATTTAATGCAATCACAATCAAAATACATATCTCACAGAATTAAGAGAAAACAATACTAAAATTCATTTGGAACCAGAAGAGAATTTGAATAACAAAAATAACAGAGCAAGGCAGGGGGCATCACAATCCCTGACCTGAAATTATATTACAGAGCTACTGTGATTTAAAAAAAAAAGAGGCCACAGGATCAAACCAGAATACGCAAAAACAACTCCAAACACACTTCACCACTCTATCTTTGACAAAGGAACCAAACATCTTCACTAGAAAAAAAGATAGCTTTTTAATAGAGGGTGTTGACACCACGCCTGCCTTGCAAGCGTTAGGTTCTGAGTTTGATCCCCAGTACCAAAAAAACCCACCAATAAATGGTGCTGAAAACACTGGTTTTCCACACACCAAAGATTAATACTAGACCCATGTCTCTCACCATGCACTAAACTCACATCAAAATGGATCAAAGACCTAAATATTAAAACAGAAACACCATATCTGTTGGAAGACAAAATAGGTAGAACTCTTGAGGACACAGGTGTAGGCAAAGACTATGAACAAACCCCGATCGCATAGGAAATACCACAAAGAATCAACAACTGTGATCTCATCTTATTAAAAAGCTTTTGCACGGCAAAAGAAACCATCAACAGAGTGAAGAGACAACCCATAGCCTGGAAAAAAATTTTTGCTAGCTGCTCCTCAAAGGACTGCTATCTAGAATATAAAATCAGACCCCCAAATTTAAAGATCCAATCAAAAATAGGCATCTGAAATGGACACACTTCTCAGATGAAGTAGAAACAGCAATTTATGAAAAAAGGTTCAACATCACTGATCATTCAAGAGATGCAAATTAAAACAACACTGAGATTCCATCTCACCCCACAAGAATGGCTGCTATCAAGAAATCAACCAATAACAAATGCTGGCCTGGCTGTGGGGAAAAAAAAGAGCCCTTCTCCACTGTTGCTGGGAATGTAGACCAGTGCGGCCACTGTAGAAATCAGTGTGGAGATTTCTCAAAAAACTGAAACTAGAGGTTCCATTTGACCCAGTTATTCCTTCTTGGTGTCTTCCCAAAGGAATTAAAAGCATTTCAATCCTCAGGACAAAACTAAAAGAAAAAAAGAATTAGGGCCTGAGATTTAGCTCAGTGGTTTTGCTGCCTGCCTCACAAGCACAAGGGCCTGAGTTCAATCTCCAGTACCACTCCCCACCAAAAAAGAATTCAAAGTGTCATACCACAGCAGGATACAGGCACACCATGTTTAGAGCATATTTATAGCAGCACAGTTTGTAATAGCTAAATCTTGGAAACAGACCAACTGCTCATCAACCAATGAGTAGATAAAGATGTGGGTTCTTTTTTTTTTTTTTACAACAGAGTACTACTCTGCCACAAAGAAGGATAACCTTGAGACATTCCTAGCTAAATGGGTGAACCTTGAGACCACACTCTTGAGATAAATCAGACACATTTTTAAATGCTGCACTGTTTCTCTGGTGTGAGAAACTGAAAGTGCAAATAAGGACCAATAGCTACTGGGAAATGGGAAGAAAATGTTCCAGTGGGAAGGGAATCAAGAGGGCAGGGGGAAAGGAGAGACAAGAAAGAAAAGAATATAAGAAAAAATGGAACAAAGCTTTTGCAAATGGGAAAAAGGATCAAAGGGAAGGGAAGGGAATGGAGAAAAAAGAAGCAAGATGTGTCATTCCTTAGGATGAATGTTATCATCATATGTATATAAAATGTGCCAATAAATGTTTTGCTTCAGAAACTACATTTATTGCTGGATGTAGTAGTGCATGCCTATAATTCTCAGGAGACTAAATCAGGGTTCAAGGCCAGTCTGAGCTACACGGCAATACCCTGTCACAAAACAAACAAACAAACAAAACTACAATTACTGAGGAAGAAAATATTCTTGCTGTTACATAAAGGCCTGAAAATAAAGTTCTGATTTATTTCCATCCATCTAAAATAAATGCTGAGGGCACCTGGACGTGAGATGCGAAGCCAGAAATGGCGCCACCCAGCCCTCTGCGCAAGGGGAGCATCACACCCCATGACCACAGCTACTGGCACAGCACCCACCCTCAGGCCTGGGTGAAGGATTTGTCCAGCAGCCTGGAGGTCAGGCTTCCTGAGTTCCAGGTCCCACAGATGACTCAGCCGGCCCAAGGCTGTGCAGCCTGCCTCAGTTTCCCTGGCTTGCTCTGAGTACTCCCCACCTACTGGGCAGAGTATTAATAGGGGTGAAGTTCTTTGAACTCCTCAGATGAAAGAGGCTGGGGAGGCAGCACCCGGTTATTACCCGCTCTGCAGACAAGCGTGGGAGCCGAGCCGGTCTGCTGTCTGACTGTTCAGGCCACCACAGCCTCCTCCTCACAGCCCCTCGCTCTTCTGCCTTCAGCTGTGGCTGCCACAAGAAAATGGGGACACAAGATTAGTCAACCCCATTTTCATGCCGTTTCAGGATGGATTTTCCTATGAATCCTCCAACTGCTCAAACCACCAGTGACCCATCTTCCCCTTAATTTATGATTCAGTAGTCATAAATCACCTCTGGGTACCTTAATTTTTTCTACAAAAAATGTGAGGAAAACTGAGCATGGTGTGCACGCCTATAATCCCAGCACTCAGGAGGCTAAAGCAGGAGGATCACTGAATTCAAGGCCAGCCCAGGCTACATGGTGAAACTCTTAAAAAAATCTGCAGGGATAAGAAATGTAATTAATTACGCCTTCTGTCTTTATATCCTCACTTCCTTCCTCCCTCCCTGCTTTCTTAGGCAAGCTCTCTTATCACTGAGCTGTATCCCCAGCCCAAAGGCTAACTTTTCACCAGTAAGTCCACCAAACGAGGGACACACACACAGTTCAGTCAGCAAACGGCACTGTGGGAGCCAGATGCTGAAGTCCAAGCCCCTCACCCTTCTCTTTCCTCCCTGTAAAATGGTAATGGATAGGGCGGGGGATTTAGCTCAGTGGTTCTGCCACCTTCCTTGTAAGTGCAAGGTCCTGAGTTGGATCCCTGGTACCAAAATAACAATAAAATGGTAATGGTTTGGCGATAGTCCTCACCACGTCTAGCTCTACAGGTTGCTATAGGAACCACATGAGGATGAGGTGTGGAGACATTCAGTAAAATACCAAGCCTACTGGGCATGGTGACACACATCTGTAATTCCAGCTATTCAGGAGGCTGAGGCAGGAGGAATGCAATTTTGAAGACAGAGTGGGAAACTTGGAAAGACCCTGTCTCAATAAAATAAAAAGGACTGGGGTATAGCTCAGTTGTAGAGAGCATGTGCAAGGCCCTGGGTTCAATGCCCAGTGCTGGAAAAAGAAGAAAAAAAGAAAAGAAAAGAAAAGCATACAAATCTCCCCTACATATGTGTTAACAGCCTACAAATAAGACTCCTGGCAATAACCACCTTGCATAGGCCATCAGACCCTTCAGATTGCAACTGCAAAAGTCTAGGCTGCCACCTGCTGGTTAAAAGTATGAACTGCACTCCCCACCAGGTACAAGAATAGCAAAGGCAGCCCCATTTCCCAGCTTTAACAGATCTTTCTTCACATCCTTTTAACAATTCTATCATATACTCAATACTTTTCTTTAGACAACTCATTTTGCATAAATTATTTCATTTTGAAGTAATCTTTTAAACGCTGATTAGTTAACACTTGCTAGAAATGAGATAAAGTGAAATAAATACAATAAAAATAAAACATTACTAAACATGGTCTAGCCAGGAAGTGTTACCTGTGAAGACTCAGCTGGAGGTTTCCCGTTAGAATTGAACATTAACAAAACACCAAAGGAGAGTACAAGATGGATGCTATCCTCTGGAGAAACACTGAGCAGTACAGAGAAGGACTCTCCGGAGGGACAGTGATGTTCCCCTCTTCTGCCCCAAGCCCTGGGCCTGGAGGACTGAAGACAAGTTTAGAAGGCACAAAAAGTGGAAAGTAAACTTGTATTATAGCACAATGCAACACAACCCACAACTGGAGACCACTGGGCTTTCTGGTGCACTTCACCGGGCCAGGGCCCAGTGCGTGAGGACACCACCAAGAGTGTGGTGGGCGTCCTGCCCTTGGTCTGGCTTTCTGTCCAGTCTTTTGCAGAGCCGAGTATCCCCTCGCCAGCCTCCTTGCGTTGGCTGGACTTGTACGTGGGTCTGCGGACTGCTGGCTGCCGGCTGTTCCCCGGAGCCTCCATGTTTCCCGCTGCCGGTTATGCACCCTGCTCTCTGGGCTCCAAGGTGCTGCTACAGCTGCATGGCTTCCTGCTCCACTGACTGGTCAGAAGGTGCCAGGTACTTCTCCTGGATGCCCAGTGTGCTAAGGGCAGGGCGTCAAGGCTAATAGCGCAGGCAGAGGACTGGCCTAGGTGGGCTCTGGCCTCTGCTGACATGGACCCTCTAACCACATCTGGCAGACCTCCCATCCCTCACCTTCCCTCCAAACTACAGCATCAGGCCACAGTAAGAGGGGCTAATAGGGTCTGAGAAACCTCCCAAGCATCCAGCCTCAAATGCTCATGTGCTTTCTTCTTCCCCATACTCCTAAGATCAAAAGGCCAGGGAGTGCTGACTCCCCGGCTCTGTGTTATGGCACACAGTCTGGAGCCAGTGAGAGGATTTTTTGAATCCTGATTGTACCAATTCTTTTTTTATCCTCTGTGAAGTATCAGAGTTGTTATGAGGATCAAATGAGAACGACCACCATGAAGCACCCAGCATGGCAGCTGGTACACAGCAGGTGCTCAATAAATACCATCACTTCTCTTTTCCTACCAAGGGAAAGAACTTAAGTAGGCTCAAAGAAAATGACAAATTCCTCTTGGGCCATAAGGTGCCTCCTGTCTCTCAAGGAAACAGAGGACACAAATCACACTAGCAAAGGGACAGTGAGAACACACTGATGGCACGTGTGAGGCTACACCTTGGTCCTTTCATCAGGGACTACATGTTCTACTGCCATTATTTAGAACTTGTTTATTCTTGTGAGTTTTGTTTCCCACGTGTAAAAGGCCTGAAACAGGGCAGTAAATGTTGGCTGAAATAATTTTCTTCTATTCTCATACTCCTTTGTCTCCAGCATCCTGTGTAGATGCTGGATCTCTGAGATCATCAGCCTGGAGGCCTGGGCTTCCCTGCTCTACCTCGCCCACAGCTGTTTGAGCTGAGTGACTCCTTGCTGGTCACTAACCCAGCTCCAAAGGTCCAGATGCCTAAGACAGCTCTGGACTATAATGATCACCCAGAAACAGATGGTCTGCCACCTCCCATCCTTTCAACCGACATGCACGCATGGCCCTCTTCCTCCTCTCCTACCTCAGGCACCAGCAGATCCACCATTCTACTGTCTGCGGCAGAATCTAGGGGTCTGAATACTGCTCCACCTCCATCTATACCACAGCTGCTCAGGTGCACACCTGTAAGTCCAGCACTCTGGGAGGCTCAGGTGGGAGGATCAGAAGTTTGAATCTGACCTGGGCTATTTAGCAACTTAGTGAGACTGTCTAAAAAATGAAAGGGGTAGGGACATAGCTCAGTGCAAAGGACTTAGGTTCACTACCCAGTACCTAAAAAATAACCACGCAGTCACTAACTCTTGCAGTCTATCTCATTTTTCTAATCCAATACATACCCTTCTTTCTATTCTCACTACAAATGTTTCACCCTTTCTCACCTAGCAAGATTGTAAGAAGTGTCTCCTGCTCTTAATCACATTCCTTGAATGCACGGCCCAGTCAGTGGGACTTTCCTAAAACATACACTCAAGCCAGGCAAGGTGCTGAATGACTTAATACCAGCTTCTTCAGAGCCCAAGGTAGGACGATTGCAAGTTAGAGCCCAGCCTTGGCAACTTAGCCAGACCCTTACTCAAAATAAAAAATGGGCAGGGGAGGGGATATTGTTTAGTGCAAAGGATATGGGTTCAATCCTTAGGACAAAAAAAAAAAAAAAAGAGAGAGAGACAGAGAAAAGGGCCAGGGCCTGAGGATATAGCTGAGCAGTAGAGCACTTGCTCAGCCTATGTAAGTAAGGTCCTGGGTTCAGTCCTCAGTACATGGAGGAAAAAAATGGACAACCAACCTCACACACACGAACACACCCCAAATCTGACCGAGGCACAACCTTTTCAATGCACTGGCTAACACTGGCTCTCTCGACCGCCTGTGAGCTAAAGCCCACACTCCTTACGATGCTCAAGCCCCTCATCACCAGTCCTGCCTGCTTCCCTGCACCCCCTCTCTTCACAGATACATCCCACCAAACTGAAGCCCTTGCCCCTCTCCCCAATGACCAGTCTTTTCTTTGCTAGGCCTCTGTGCTGCTCTTCTGTCAGTATCCTCCCTCGTCCTGAATACAACCAACCCTGCAGCCTTCTATGGAAGCAGCCATTGCACATAAAAAAATAGACAGACACCAGGTTGCCCAACCATCTGGTCAGTAAGGGATCAGTTACCCACAAGGGTGGTGACCGCACCTCCTATGGCCATTCTCAAGCCCCATGTGTCACCCTCTCAGCTGTGGCCACGAAGTGAGTGAAGTCAGGAAGCAAGGATACGAGGAGAAATGGAAGTCAGCGCCTACTGCAGCTGACATCATAGCCTCCAGGCTTCGCTGCTCTTGGACCCCGAAACAGTAGCCGTTGGCTTTATCCACAGCCTGCAGGACTCGCTGGATGCTGTCTTTGTCCTGAGCAGGGAGAAGAAATAATTCTGTGAGGGAAATAGAGGTGTGCGGAACTAAGGCTAAACGCCCTTGCCCACAATCTCCAAATACACCTGCTTGATCTCACCTCGTGATGCCTGTTCATGGAACTTTCTTGGCCTGATATAGCTCTAGATGTCCCCAGAGACCTGGCTAAGTCCCACCTTTCCCCACTACCACCCACTCAGACTGGAAAAGTGAGCTGGGCCAGGGATTTCAGTGGCACTGCACCTGCCTGGCAAGCACAAGGTCCCGAGTTTGATTCCCTCTAACAAAAAAACCCCAGTGAGCTCTTCTACACACATCTGGACCCCTGGGTTTATTCCTATTGTAGATGGCACCCTACCATCTTATGAGAAAAGTATGGCATTAGAAAGAGAAGACACAAGTAGCTGCAGAAAGGAACCTAACATGCACCTGTGTCTCCTAGGCTATCTTTGCAGGAGGCAAGGCAGGAGGCACAGGGGATGGTGCTGCTTTACAAACTCAACACAGTTTCCCAGCTGAATGGGCCTAATACATTTGTCCCCAGTCGTGATCATGACCCTTTGCTGATGAATTCTTTCTCTTTTTTTTTTTTTTTTTTTTTTATTTTTTTTTTTTTTTTTTTTTTTTTTTTTTTTTGCTGATGAATTTCTTGATTCTCCCATTTTCATTCTGAGAAGACCCAATGATACAGAATAGACAGGCAAGTTTGGTCCACCCTTGTTACTGGAATCCTACCCACAGCAGCCCCCAAAGGGGGCTCAATGACAGTCATACCCAGGATGAAGACCACTTAGGTCCTCAAAGCTGTCTGTGCTGTTGGCTAGTGAGTCCCAGGCATAACACAGTCTAGGGCCAAGGGAACAGGCCTCTCGGTACTCAGTACCTGAATGTTCAGAGGGATAAAGGAGACCAGGCTGTAGTCTTCAATGAGCTGTACCAGTTTCTCATTGAGCTGGCGGTAGTGGCGAAAGAAAGGGTCAGAAGCCAGGTGATCAAGCAGATAGGAGAGGTCCAGGACCTCTGTGTAGTAGTCCAGGTTGAAGGCTAAGGAGAGAAAGTAGAATTTAGGAGCAGGTGGCATCAGACTAAAGATCCGAGGACTGGAGGGACTCACTGGTAGAGCATGTGCTGAGCATGCACAAGGCCTGGGTTCAATCCCAGCACTGCAAACAAACAAAAAATACACAATCACACCTAAGAACTAGAACCATATTTTCTTTTTCTTTTTTAAATTTAATTTTTTTTTTTTTTGGTACTGGGAATCGAATTCTGGCCCTTGTACTTGTGAGGCAGGTGGCAGAACCACTGAGCTAAATCCCCGGCTTCTTTTTTTCCTTTAGCTTTCTTCACTCAAATATTTGTTGCTGCAAGGACATGAAATTACTACGAAGAAAATACTTGGCTTTACCTGCTGACTCTGCCATTTATGAGCTATAAGACAGGTCTCCACCTCATGGGTCTGTTAGGAGGATTAAAAGACATAAACTCCAGTGTATGGTACAGAAAAATATTTGAGCAATAATAGTAAATAAAAATGTCAAACAGGTTTGAGAACCCTGCTTAGTCCTTGCCTCAGGAAGATGTCAGCTGGTACCCTCAGGGCCCAGCATGCTGTGAGAATCTGTAGGTGGTGGCTGGGATTGAATTGCATTCTAGCAGCAGGCCTCTTAGGTAAATGACTTTTCCTTTTTGCTAAATTCCTTCTTACTATAAAGTGAGAGACCAGAATAGATGTTCTGAGGAACCTGATTCCATTCTGTGAATAATTTCCCATTAAGAGAAGGAAAGTAGGCTCCCTAGTCTGGTCTAAGGTGAGGGACTCTGGGCTGAGCTGGTTCCTCTGAAGTACTGATGTCCCTCTATGTCCTGACGACTGGTTGGGCTCCCCAGAAAACACATCACTTTATCAACAATCCCCCTCCCTGCTCATGTGCTGGCCATTTAGCTGTTATCCTCTAAATTCCTTCAAGGTTGGAGATGACATCTGAGAACGGATGCTTCCAGCACAACAGAACACCAATTCTACAGGGAAAAAATGCCGACCAATGGGACATCAGACTTTTCTCCTGCTCCATACCAGCCTGCTTCTCCCTCAATTTTCCCCATCTTATGCCTGTCCCGACTCTAGTGTCTCTGTCATATAAGGGTATGGCCATCAAGGGAGCTGTGGAACAGGCTGTCACATCCCAGATCTGCCAGCGTCTTGATCTTGGACCTCCCAGCCTGGCTGATAATATTGTGTTATACGGGACCCTTTGTCTAGGTCAGTCCTCCTCCTGCTGGCTTCTCACCATTCTCAGAGGCCAGCTCAGAGGCCAATGCCTCAGATCACTGAGGTACTGTTTATCCCCAGTCACTACTGTCCTATCATATTTCCTCTGTAACACATATCACCATCTGTAGCTCTTGTCTCCAAAATCTGTAACGGTATTTGCCACAGAATCATAAAAAGTAAAAGGACAGGATTCAGGACTGTTGTAGCTACTATCACAAGGCCATGCAAGGTCCCAAAGGCAGCTTCCTTCATCTGAGATCTCTGCCTCACTTGCTGCCCTCGTCCTCACCTGCTGGAAACAGGAGCTCTTACCTAGCTTCCCATAGTGCTCAATGAGGTCCATCTTGGAAAGCAGGTTGATGTGAGGCAGCTCCACATGCAGCATGGTGGCCAGGGAGGTGCACAGCACTGAAATGAACTTGCCTGGGTCTGTACAGTAGTGAGAATCCACAAGGTGGACAGCAGTCAGCTAGGAGGGGAAGAGAGGGGAAGAGTGACCAGGGAGGCCTGGGACATCACTCATCACACTGGGAGCTTGAGGGCAGAGTGAGTGTGAGCCTAACTTCATGCTGTCTTTCTGCTTCTGTTTTGTTCTAACAGCCACCATCATGTCCTTCTCCCAGGAAACATGGGCATTTTATATATATATTTCTTTTATTTGTATATGTTTACAATACATAGTGAATGCATTCATCATGAAAAGTTAGTACATGTAGGCATTTAATTTCTTAAAGATGCCTTGCACTGAGCCTTCCCAGTAGACAACAGGTACAAGTCCCACTGCGTCTGCCTCCATACTTTTGCCAGCTTACAACAATCGCCTTCTACTCTCCATATATCCTCCTCCTTCCATCTAAAAATCCCACGCTGGGTACTAACACATTCGTTTCACAGACTAGAAAATCTCAGTTGAAAAGTGATTATTTACCCATATCACACAGTGAGTCAGTAGCAAAGACAAAATTTGAACTCACAACTGTTTACCTCAAAGCAACTCAGCCCCTACCTCGCTGTGACATGGGGGCGTGGCACCTGTCCTCCTCCCTGTCTCATTTGCTCCATCAGCAAAATGGGCCTGCCCTACACGAGACGCACCCTGAGGTCCCACTGAGCCATCTGAGAGAAGATGCTACGCAGAGCACCGTGGTGTGTGCAGAGCTCCACCTGGCCGGGACAATCGAAGAGGAAGTAGTGGCCGCGGAGGGGGTCGAGTTTGGCACGCAGCCAGTCCAGGTTGGCTTCCAGGTACTCCATGCAATACAGCAGGCCGCCGTTGGGTCCGAGCCGCAGCTCGTCCATCACGTCGCCCAGCCCCACCAGCTCGCTCACGTCCACTGCGCATTCGTACGGCAGCCCCTCGTTGGCCGGGTCCAGGTTCACCACCGCCACCCGCCGGCCCAGCGCACGCAGGAACTCACTCATGCCCAGGCAGTACGTGGTCTTTCCCGAGCCCGGGGGACCGATCACCGCCTGTCCGAAGGCTGTGGCCGTCGCGGCCGTCGCCATGAGCAGAACGCCAGAGAGGACACCGAAGGCGGGGAACCCCTGAATCCCAACTCGATGGGGCCTGACGGCGAGGCCGCTTAAAGCAGATCTGCGGGAACACGCGCCAGTTTTCAAGGAGGGCGAGCAGCCCCGCGGTAATAGCCCAGCTCCAGACTTCCGCGCGGCGCCGGAAACGTCGAGCGCAGAGGAAGTCCCGCCTCACGCCAGGGACGTAAAGCCGAGAGGGCGGGGCCACGCGGACCCCTTTCTCCTGCGGGAGGACGCGTCGCCCAAGGGTCTCCGGGCCGGCAAGGACTGCTGAGATTCTTCCGACCTTGCCCCAGGCTGCAATTAATAGAGAAGGCGAGGGCCAGCCATAAATATTTTTATTCTGTCCTTAACGCTGGAGACCTCGGGCCACCACCAGGAACAGCCTGGACCCAACCAGGGAGGTAGATGAGGTGGAGGGCCTGCCCCACGGTCTTCTGTTAACGACGCCATAAATCTCTTCAGATCCTTTTCCCACTCACTCTGGCTTTCTTAGCGACGTCCTTCAGACGCCCAGGGTAGGCTGTTTGACCTCAGGCAGTACAGCTTTTCAAGTACTGGGCAAGCCCAAACAGGTACTAGGATTACGTGACCAAGGAGAAGAGGTCATTAAACCCGGACACCCAAGGAAAGGGAAAGGGGCTTTTATCAAAAATGTCCTTGAGGTAGACAACCGGTAGCCAGGCTCATAACTAAGCACTCTGCACAGGCCAGCACAGACTGCTGCTCCCAGATTCCTTTCTGCCTCAGCAATGGGCAGTGCCTGGGCAGAGGGCTGCCATCCTGCAGCTGTGTGTGATGCTGGCCAGGGAAACCCCAGTTCTCAGTCAGGTTCTGAGGGGCGATCTGAGAACCAACTGGAACCTCTCACGAAGGCTATGTCTGTCCGAAACTTCATGCTGGTGGGTAGCTGGCGGCGGAGGAGTGACTCCCCTTGATCCTGGGGTAGGGGTTCATCATAGATGGTGGAGATGAGCCCCAAGCCAGTTCCACGGGGCCGCTTCAGTAGTCCAAATGGCTGTAGCTTCTCTCCATGATACCTGGATAAAAAAGGGCTCTCGTGCAGAGTGCAGCTCTCAAACCCCAGCGAAAGGGTTGGGAAAGGACAGGGAAGTAGCTTCTCATTTCTGGTTTAATCTCAAGACTGCTGGGTTTTTCCTTTTTGGCAGTGCTGGGGAGTGAACCTTATGCATGCTGGGCAAGCCCGGTATCACTGAACCGCATCCCCTACTCCAAGTTGGAAAGTTTTAAAATCTCTGTATCTATCCATAGAGAGGGTCAGCAACCAGGGACCTTAGATACAACTTTTATTCCATCACTACAGACTCCCTAACTATCAAGTCCGAAATTCGACTGGGGCAATGACTGTCCTGAGGGATCAATGACCCTGTTAAACCTCAGGGTTTAGTCTACGACAAATAGAAGAATGCCAGATCCACCTTTTCCTTCTAACTCCATTTTGAAGTTCATTCTCTAGGAGTGCCCAGCACCCATTCCAAGGCCAGTGGGAACAGGGAAACTGGGACACAGATCACAGTCTGGCTGCGGCTGGCTCGGGCTCCTGCGAAGTCCCTCAGCCACACTTACCCCAATCCACGTTTGCATCTTGGGTGCTGTCCATCACCATCCAGAGCCTCAGGCACCCCTGAACAGCTGCTGCCCAGGCCCTGGCCCTCAGCCCAGCCCTGCCGCTCCATCACCTTCCGGCCAATGCCCTGTAGAGGGAAAAGACAAGTAAAGAAATTGGCCTCCCTCTAGGGTGGGAGGAAGAGAAGGAATGGAGGCAAAGAAGGAAAAGAGAGATCAGTGGGCTGGGCACAGAGCTCACTCACCTTAGTGTAGCGCTCAAAGGTGCCCACCTGGCGTTCAATCACAGAAACCTCTTCCTGGCCATCACGAAGCCTCTGTTCCAGACGCATTTGGACTGAGTCTCGGGCATCTTTGTCTCCACCATCTGGGGAACCAAGGCTCAGTTTATGGAAGGGTATTGGGGTATAAAGGAAGGGATCGGATATCTAGGATCCCTTCACAAGGTTCACTGATTCATTTTCACGGTGTCCTGTTACATTCTCTCTCACTGGACTAAGTGTTCACCAAGAGTAGGAGCCACGGCTTCTCCATCTTACAGATGGGGAAATTATAGGGCAGAAAAGTCACAGAACAGATGACAGAGATGAAATTAGAGCCTGGGTCCCTCCCCAGCCCCAGGTCACTTTTCACTCCAGAACTAAACTTGGACCAGCTTCCAAGCTCATGACCATCCCACTCCACCAGGGCCTGCCCATCAGACCCAAGGCCCCTGCAGACCTTTCCCAGTTGTCCTTCCTCACAAAGAAGGGCAAAAGCTATGTCCAAGCCAGCAACTAATGTAACTAGAGATGGCAAGTAGTTGGCCCGATCCATAGGTTGTGCATCTGTGAATTCAACTGTGTATTGCAAATACCCAGAAAAACTGCCTCTGTATTGAATATGAACAGACTTAAACTCCTCATCATTATTCCCTAAATACAGTAGCTGGGACTGGTGGCACCTGCCTATAATCCCAGCACTGGGGAGGCTAAGCAGGAAGATCACAAGTTTTAGGCTAGCTAGCCTAAGAACCTATCTCAAACAAAACAATTATTTACATGTTATGTTGTAAGAGTTATAGTAAGTAATTTAGAAATAGTGTTTTAAGAGATGATTTAAAATTTACAGGAGGAGCCGGGTGCGGTGGTGCACACCTGTAATCCCAGCACTCAGGAATCTGAGGCAGGCTGAGGCAGGAGGACTGCTTTGAGTTCGAGACCAGCCTGGGCTAGTAGTGAGTTCCAGGTCAGCCTCAACTACATAGTGAGACCCTGTCTCAAAAAAACCAAAAATTAAATAAATAAAATAAAAATAAAGTATATAGGAGGAGCTGGGCAGGGTGGTGCACACCTGTAATCCCAGAACTTGGAAAGCTGAGGCAGGAGGAATACCACAAGTTCAAGGCCAGCCTGGGCTACATAGTGAGTTCAAGACCAGCCTGAACTACACAGTGAGACCCTGTCTCAAAAACAAAACAAAACAAAACGAAAAAATAAAGTATGTAGGACTGTGTAGGTTGTAAGCAAGGACTGTGCCATTTTCCAGAAGGGACATAAGAACCCTCAGATTTTGGTGTCTGTGGATCCCAGAACTAATACTAGGAGGACACCAAGGGTTGACTGTACAATGAGCTGCCTCAAGGGTGTCTCAACCTTTGCAAAGCATGTCTGCCAGAGTCACTTCAGGGCAGGGGCAGCAGTTTCACACCTCCCAATATTGCCACCCCTCTGCCCAGTACCTCTGTCGTAGTACACACTCATGTCCACGTCCCAGTCATCAGCTGTCTGTTCATCAAAGTCTGTGGGGATATAAAAGTATCCAGGAGAGTGAGTTAAGGACTCTTAGTTCTGTTGAGAGCTAAAGCTAGAGTTAGACACATGATCCAGAACCTAGGCTTCTTGTTTGTATTTTCAGGTCTCTCTTCTGGGAAGAGTATTCAGAACTGGAGTTGGGAGAGGCATTTTCTGTCCATTCTACTGATCCCTCCAGAAAAGTACTCTCTCACTCTGTCAGTACTGGGGATGGATGATTGGTTTCCCATACACAACAGAAGTGACTGTTCCTCATCTCTTCCATTAGGTTGTCAGGGAATCCACCATGTGGAACTGAGGACTCCAAGAATATGCAACAGGCATCACCTCTGCCCTTGCTCAGGTGCCGTGCTTGCCTGCTGTAATTTGGATCTTAAACAACTCCCTAAAACCCATGTATTAAAGGTGCAGTCCCCAACTGAGGGCTGCTGGGTGGCAAAAGAAATTTTATTTTATTTTTTATTTTGTAGTGGGGATTGAACTCCGGACCTTGCACTTGCAAGGCAGGTAGTGGAACCACTGATCTAAATCCCCAGCCACGACAGAAACTTAATTTAAGAGGTAGGAACTAGTGAGAGGTTTTAGGTTATGAGGGGTGTGTCCTTGAAAGGAACTCTTGCACCCTGGGCTTTTTTTTCCTTGTGTGCTGGGTAGGAAGTGAATGGGATTCCTGCACCATGCACTCCCCGCTATAACATGCTGTCTCACTACATGCCTGAAAGTAATGACACCAACTGACCGTGAGCCAAAGTAAATCCCTCTCCTTAGGAGCTACTTTATCTTATGTACTGGTTGGCATGGCAGCAAGGTGACCCATAGCCTCACCTCCTTCTTCCTCTTGCCAGAACTGGGCATCAGTGTAGAACACCAGGCCAGAGCCACCCTTCTCCCACTTCAGCTCGATCTCCTCCTCGAAGAGCCGCTCGGAGGTCCGCTCCTGCCCTGTCACATCCTCATGCAATGCCTCATGCCGCTCCCACTCCTCACCACAGTCATCATCCTGGGAGAAGGTGGGAGAGGTGATCCATCTGTCCACTTCCTGACCTCGTCCCCAGAAGGAGGGACTTAGGGCAAGGAGGCCTGAGACTGGGTCATAGCTGCGTCCTTCAGGTTTCCCCAGAACAGCAGAGATCTGGTCCCTGAAGGCCTGAGCAACTGACCTCTCCAACGCCCTGACATTTTTCAACAGTTTGCTCCTTCCTACAAACCCAACTTACTCTTAGCTCTGTACTTTTGGCTATGTGGTTTCCCTTGCCCAAAATATGTGCTTTTCTTCTCCCTTTGGTTAAATCTTCCTTGTCCTTCAAGTCCTACAGCCTCCATGACATTGGGCCCTTCCTAGAATCACCTTCCTTAATCATCCCAATGACCCTGTAAAACAATTATCACTCTTCCCATTCTCCCATGAGGGAACCTAGGTTCAGAGGAGTAAACTGATTTGTCTGTAACACCACAAGAAAGTAGCAGAGCAGGATGTGAAGCCAGGACATTACTCCATGTGTCCAGTCCAGATACTAGTTCTCTCCCTTCAGAGAGACTTCAGGCTCTCTGAGGGGAGGAAACCAGTCTTTGACTGTAACTGGAATCCTACACTAGCTGTTAGCTTACAAGTGCTTGACTGGACTTGTGGAATGCAAGGTTACTCCTGGCTTGAAGCCTGGGGGCCCCATCCAGCTAAACCCCAGGAGGCCACAGGAATCACTATCATAGAGCAAGTACTACAGAAAAGCCAGGACAGGGCCACACTAACGATG